GTTGGTTGCAACAGTTTTTGAGTTAGTAAATTGTCATCTATATTGAGAATTTCTTATTACTGGAGCAAGAGGCCTCCAACATATGTCGCTCAAATTGACGTTCCCTTGATCATGCAGCTTTCTTTCATTATAGATAGGTGTGTAAGGAGATCCTGTTCCCTAGCATGATTTGATGGTCTGTAGCAGACACCAACTAATACCCCATCTTGTGCTTTATCTGTTAGGACATTGATCCATAAGCATTCAAGATTATTTTCTCCTGAGTTATCAATGACTCACAAACAGGTAATGCTGTTTTTTACATAGAGTGCCATTCACTCTGCCCTTTTGCCCACTCAGTCCTTCCTAAATAAGTTATAACCATTGGTTTTAATATTCCAACTGTAAGAGTCATTTCACCAGGTTTCAGTAATACCAGCTAGACTGAATTTATGCTCATAAATAACCAATTCCAGTTCCTCTTATTTGTTAGCCAGGCTCCTAGAATTGGTGTATAGATAATTCAAGAATTTCTTCTTTTCATGTTCTTTGGTTCCTTGATTAATTTTGTTCTCAACATCTTGATTCTGTGCTAAATGAGTACTCAGATCTTCCCTCTGTTTTACCCTCTTATTCTGTTATTAGTTTATTCCCCTCTTGACTAGTCTATCCAGCCTGTCCCTGCGGACATCAATTCCCATCTACTGAGTTAAAAAGTGTTGATTAAATAATATACAACAAATAATGTATCCAATGACTGTAGCCTCTTTTTCAGCTCACCAGTACTCACCAACATGGCAGGATGCCAGGAAATGTGAGTGCTAGTTAATGATATTTATAACAATATTTTTGTTGTTGTTGGTTTTTTGTCTGTGCAACTATGACCAGCCTATGAGCTGATTGCACATCCATAAGTGTTACTCGTTTTGCTTCTGTTAAATATTCATGAGCAATTAAGGCTGTAGCATCATGCACCCTGAATTAGTCAGTGATTAATGATAGAGGAAGTTGGAGTTAAGTTTACAAGACCTACATGATGTTTTGAAGTGCAGAGACTGCAGTCTGGCTCACAGGTGTTAGCTCTCAACATGTGTTAGGTTTCATGTACTCACAAAGAGTTCAGCCCAGCTTTTAAGCTAAATTATGATCTGGTGGAATCTAGTCCAATCTCCCTTGCTCCTTCTCCATGCCATCACATTCAGAACCCCCTTCCACAGATTACAGGGAACGCGGAGGCAAGCCTGCTCCATCCACCTCCACACCCTCCCCCACGCTCACTCTTCCTGCATCTTCCCCCATACGCTTGGGCTACACTAGGAATGTGTGTCACTATGACCTTGTCGCTCAGGGTGTGGAAAATCCTGAGCAACATAGTTATACCAACCTAACCCCGGTGTAGACAGCGCTGTGTGGACGGGGGGGCTTCTCCCATCAACATAGCTACCGCCTCTCGGGGAGGTCGGGTACGTACGTCAATGGGAGAAGCTCTCCCGTCTGCGTGGGTAGCGTCACCACGGATCGCTACAGAGGTGTAGCTGTGCCGCTGCAGCGCTGTAAGTGTAGACAAGCCCATAGTACTACTTGGTAACAGAGTTCCTATGGTGTGGAGAGCTCTGCCTTGGGGTAAATCCTTAATTAACTGGATATTTTTTTTTTTACAAACATTGTTAAAACTGTGTGTGATGTGCATGTAAAAGATGAACCAATTGGGTATTTGCCTCCATATAAAGTTGGGCCAGATCCTCACCCTGGGGTAATTCATTTACACCAGCCAGCGATCTGGCCTATGACATCATTATTTCTCCCTTACATTATACAGCCTATAATTATACTTATAATGAAGATATAAAAGGTGCTTAGCTATGACATTGCTGAATATGCTCGAAAACTGAAAGCAAGAGGTCGGTAAATAGTTATTCAAACAGGAACAGACTTTTACATAACTCTTAAGCAAACATCATTCTGGGATGTGTTAGCAGGTGTGTTGTAAGCAAGACATGAGAAGTAATTCTTCCGCTCTAATGCACACTGATTAGGTCTAACTGGAGTATTGTGTTGAGTTCTGGATGCCACATGTCAGGAAAGATGTAGAAAAATTGGAGACAGTCCAGAGAAGAACAACAAAAATGATTAAAGGTCTAGAAAACAGGATCTATGAGGGAAGATTGAAAAAAAAATTGGGTTTGTGAGCATTGGCCTGCTAAATCCAGGGTTGTGAGTTCAATCCTTGAGGGGGCCACTTAGGGATGTGGGGCAAAAATCAGTACTTGGTCCTGCTAGTGAAGGCAGGGGGCTGGACTCGATGACCTTTCAGGGTCCCTTCCAGTTCTATGAGATAGGTATAGCTCCATATATTTTTTTTCTTTAAGACTGAGAAGGGACATGATAACAGTTTTCAAGTATATAAAAGGTTGTTACAAGGAGGAAGGAAAACAATTATTCTCCTTAATCTCTGAGGATAGGACAAGAAGCAATGGGCTTAAATTGCAGTAAGGGAGGTTTAGGTTGGACATTGGGAAAAACTTCCTAACTGTCAGAGTGGTTAAGCACTGGAATAAATTGCCCAGGGGGGTTGTGGAATCTCCATCATTGGAGGTTTTTAAGAGCAGGTTAGACAAACACCTGTCTAGATAATGGTCTAGATAATACAGGGATGGTCTAGATAATACTTAGTCCTGCCATGAGTACAGGGGACTGGACTAGATGACCTCTCAAGGTCCCTTCCAGTCCTACAATTCTATGATTCTATGATCTTATGAGGAATGACATCTGAGGCTACACCACAGTTTTGTAATTACACAGTTTATTGAGTTTGTAAAAAGGAAAATGATTTTCACAAAACAAACTGGAAAAAAATTATAAGAATAAAAGTTTACGTTCCAAGTCTATGGTACACTTTTACACCACCATTGAAAAGCCAATTAATAGCTCCTCTATAGAAGAAATAATTACTATAAAATTGTATTCCCCCCTTTTATAAATAAAGAAAATTATAGTTTTAAAACAACATAGAAGTTATATAATAACTAAAAATGTCAGTCACCTTCACCACTAATAATTATATTGCAAGTAATGTACATTCTTTTTAACAAGGACACTGTCATGTAGTTTAGGGCCAAAACTTAGGTGGGGGGAGTTATTTGTTTAAAAAACTTTCAACAAAAGCTAACATTAATAGTATTTGTTAAAATGTTTTAGTTGGTTTTTGTTCAGGTTTAAACATTTCCCAGCAACACTTCACTCTAAACTGTACAGTACAGGCCTTCTGCAGGAGAACTAGAAAGCAAAACTGCTTAGCCTGTTTTCATTTGTTCAAGCTGAGGGAAATTCAAAAAATAAATAAACAGCATAAATGGCACTAAGAAGAAAAGTTCCAAGCCATGAAGGCTCTTCTCCCCAAAGTCGAAGGGTGTTTGGATACGTTGCTTTGTTCTAGAAAAAGTGAATCAGATAATAACAATGACTGAGATTCTTAGAGCAGTCTAGGGCACATAAAACATATACCTTCCACTCACATTAATGGAAGGTACTTGTCTAAATCCCCTAAACTGCTTTGACAATCACCACCAATTGTTTTCCGCTATTGTTGGTAGCACAATAAGCACAAACACTAATAGCACAAGCAATATTTTTAATAGTATGATGATTTCTAATGACAATGTCGGGCTTTAAGGAGGACCTAAGCTTAGAAAGAGAACAGTCAGTGAATTACAGCAATATGTCTTCCAAGTATGTGGTGTGGCACATCCTGTGGTGCTGCACTTATCTTTCCAGCCCCCTGCCTACTTGTCTCTGCAACTGAAGTGGCTCTTTACACAAGTTACCCTGACCCAGGGGGACTGTCTTCCCACCTCACCTTAATTATAAGAAATTTTGAACCAGAAACTGTATATGCTGAAACAGCATTTTTGCTCAGACCATGCTCCTTTGAGACCAGGCACAGAGGTGAGGTGCTGAGATCCCTATTTTTTAGCATGCGTTGCCTGGGGAGGGCACATTCCCCTGTTTTAGCAGAGACAAGAAATGCTTCCTGCTGTTTCTTTTAGGTTTTCCCCTTCCCAAAGTTGCTGAGTTCAGCTGACGCATTTCAGCTTGACTCAGTACCAAACAAATGGCACTGGACAGGTAGAAAAATCTTCTTGCCATCAGCTGGGCTGCGCTTTGGCCACTGTGTAATAAAGGAAATTTACTGAATGTGAAACTGCTATTTTGGAGCATTCTATGGAACTACTCACAAGCTTGAAGTTAAGCAAGTTTGTAAGTTAAGCACGTTTGTAAGTGCATCGCTGAATTGGGGCTTAAATATCAGAGGTTTGCTAAACAAACTCATCACATAGCATGAAATTCACCCTGTGCACTGGCAGCACAAGATCTACGCACCACTTAAATCCCATCAAAATAGCATGTAAGTGGAACATAAGTGATGCACAGACTTTGTGCTCACCTTGTGCAGTTGGGTGAATTTCATCCCTCGTGCATAATCTTTCTTCATGAGGGAGAAAGTACAGAGCAGGGTTGATCTGTAGAGTCAGTTGGAAAATTTTATTTACATTTTTCACAGCATAATTTTCTGATTTTTTTACATGCAAAACTGGAAACCAATTTTTTTCTCAGATTTTCATGAAAACCATGGAAAACTTGGAAAGAAACAAAAATCTTCCACAAAATTTTTCATTTAGTAACAAGATTGTTTTTCCTTCAAACATTTTTTGAATGACAAATTTCAACCAGCTCTATTGATCAGCTTCTTCCATATTTTGAAAGGGTGGAATTGCCTAGATGCTACTTGATTGTTAACATTTCTAGCTTGTGCTAGATGAATTCTTGTTTTAATCATGCAGGTTACTACAAATGCTACCAGCAGATTCTAAATTTTGATCATTGTAAGAATATGTGATGCAGCCTCAAAGTATAAACCACTTTTTAAACTAGCCTCATTGGTGAGAACAATGCAGCGATGCTGATTTACACCAGGTGAGGATCTGGCTCTTACTGTTCTTGATCTTAGAGATTACTGCAACCTGATATTCAAGGTTGAAAGCTTTGCAGCACAATTGTCCAATTTCATGGAACAAGGAGTGTATGAAATGCAGTGCTACCACATCATGGTAGATGCTATGCAGAAAGAGATTTTTTGTTCTACATGCAAAATTATTTTGCACCGATGGGCCATGAGCTACTTCCATTTGTACCAGGTGAAGATCTGGCTCTATACCTGTAAAGTTAACAGACCATCTTTTCTCCCATTTCTCTATGAAGACTTCACCTGAGGAATCTGATTAATAGGTTGCTCCACAGCAAGCTGGTTCTCAAACACACAGCACGATTTATAACTTCCCACAATTTTTGCATGAAAATTTGCCTCATCCAGCTTATGCCAAATATCTGTTTCAATGTACACATTGTATGGGTCATTTGAGTGCTCAAGCTTTTTGGAGCGGATGTTGCTAAGCATTATTCCAAATGTGAAAAAGCCAAAGAAACCAAGCAACAAGAGCACATAGATGATTTCCAGATTGTCACTGGGTTTTCCAGCCTGAGAAGATGCAGAGTTATTTGTCCGGTCTACATATTCTTGTAATACTTTGGAGAGGAGTGAATTCAGTGCTGTATCATTAGACAGCGTTGCCATCTTCTTCCGTCACTCTTTCTTTTCTGAAGTGGTGATTTCTAGAAAAACATAAAAGCCAGGTACACTTTTAAAACCCAATGTGGCAATAATTCTGTACAACTGATAAATATCCTGTCTGCTTTCCTTTCTGAGAGGAGAAAACTATTTCATGAGAGCAGGGCCGGCTCTAGGTTTTTTGCTGCCCCAAGCAAAAGAATTTGGCTGCCCCCTTCCCCCCCGCCGCCCCAGCCCTGGGTCACTGGTAACTCGCTCCCAGGGCGGGTCATTCAGCAGGAATTTTGGATGTGCAGAGAACACAGACAGGATTGGTTCCCATATGGTTACAGAACTGCAGTAAAGTGGAACAATTTTCAGCTTGTGTGATTGGAGGATATCTGGATGCATATTATAAGACTGTCCTACATAAATGAGGAAAAGTTGAGGTGCCTTTATTATTCTTTTGTTCCATTCTTTGTTTCTATGGGGAATTTGCCAATGCAATATCACTGTCTTCCTTTTAAACAAATAAAACTAAAACTTAAAAATAATAATAATAATAATAATAATAATAAAAAAAAGCAGTGGCTGTTGAAAATAGCAATTCCAGTCCTAATAACCACTGGGAAGCATTTCTTGCTCAATTTATTCTACTTTTTCTACAGCAAGTTACAGTGGATCAGTATATTTGATTTGGGAGAAATGAAGTAACAGCTGCCCAAATTGAGCTTGAGCACTCCTGAATTTTGAGGGTGTTCAAATCTGGAAGGCAGGTGCTGGATTCCCTTTCTGAATATTAGCTAAATCTGGAAAAGAAAAGTCAATTTCTGCTTCCATGGCTCAGAAGTGTAAATCCTCCTACGTGCCTGGTACTGTATCTAAAGCTGCCCAGTCTAGTAGAGCCTCCCCTCCCTTACTTTTCATTTTAAATTCTAGTGGGATCCACGTACCTACCTTGCTAGGCTTCAGATAGAGAGGTGCAATGTCCATTTAGTCCACCCAATTCTTTCTTTGGGGGAGAGCCCAGGGCTGGGGCGGCAGGAGGTGCAGGTGGGGGCCAGAGCTGGGGCAGCAGGGAGTGCAGGTGCAGGGGGGGGAGAGGAGCCGAGGACAGGGGTGGGGCAAGACAGAGGTGGGGGGGGAGCCCAGGGCTGAGGTGGGGGGCAGCCAAAAACCTAGAGCTGGCTCTGTCCCTACCATTCACAGCAAGCTGTAGCATGAGGTTTCAGTTCTACACTCCTTCCCCCTCCCTTTCCTGTTAATTGCGGCCAAGGGAATGCTGGGAAATGTAGTTCTTTCCCTGCTCCAGGGCTGGCTCTATACGCAGGGAGCTAACCAAGGAACTACAGCTCCCAGGGCTCCCTGTTGGTTCTCAGCTCTCATGCTGGATTCTTGTGCCCCTGCAAATTTGCCGCCCCAAGCACCTGCTTGCTTTGCTGGTGCCTAGAGCCGGCCCTGCATGGGAGAATGCTGAACTTGGAAACAAAATATTTCAGACCACATCATCAGTTGGTGTAGATTGGCATAAATCTATTACATTTAGTGAAGATGTACTCAATTTCAATTTCCATCAGCTGAGGACCTGTCCCTTAATGTGTCAATTTATAGTCATGTTTACTATGTAAGTACAAACATCCTAAATAAATTACTACTGCTCTCTCTGTCTGTTTCCCCACTGTGCTGCAGTAAAACAGAGGTTGGGGGAGAATAGGGAGTGGAAAAGCCAGGAGGCAGCTGTGAAAACAGCAGGTGACAGAAGAAAGAGGCAGCAACCTCCAGTGCAGGAGCTCCTAGGGGCTGGTGATGAAAAGTGCTTCCCTTTGCCCACCTTACCTCCAGTAAAACAAAAAACAACCACCCTCCTGTCACTGATTCACAGAGCCCTTCTCAAAGAAAGCCACCATGCAATTGAGAGTTTTGCTGGATAGTTAAGCTGACCTCTGGTGACATCCTTGCAAATCAGGAATACTGCCATATAGAGTGCAATCAAATCACTTTGGCACAAGGAATCAAAGATTTTTGGTAATCAATCCTATTTTGATTGAGAGTTTTACACAAGAAGCTTAATGATCATTTCCCCCTTTAGAGTCTCAATACCAGACATCCTGTCCAGTAAATCCTTTCAGTGGATAAGAACAATGTATCAGGATTGCAATATGCAAGTCTCCCTAACCAGACAATATAACTGACATGTCACTTTAATCTTAGTACAAGGCATAATTTAGCTTTTGTAATAAATTAAAACAAACATTCCTTATTGTATTATGCCCTTAGACTTTTTGAATAGCAGGTATTGTAGTTCAAGGTGACTTCACTGATGGTAATCTTGTAATAATATAGGAGCTGTCAGTTCTTTATACAGTTTTAATTATATGAAAACAGAGTGGTCCATTTACACAGGCTCTTCTGATTTAAATGGGATTTTTTTAGCCATGTACTGTATTTTATTCATTTACATCAAGGGTAAAATTTGCTCCTGGGCCAGCACAAGGTTTATGCAGGTCTTACACGCTACTTGAGCCTTATTTTGAGGGCTTAAGTAGGACTTGAGTGGAGCATAGATCTTGTGCTGGCCTTCTGCACGGGAGTGATTTTCACTCCAAACACTCAGTTTAGGAGTAATGGCACTCAAATATGTGCTATTTTGTGAGGCCGGGTTAAATTTTCTGTTTCTAGATAGTGTATGGGCATATTTTTTGTGTGAAAGTTTTTTTTTGTGTGGTGAAAACTGCAGATTCAGTGACACCAAAACCTTTGTAAAAAGTTACAAAGAGTCCTGTGGCACCTTATAGACTAAAAGACGTATTGGAGCATAAGCTTTCATGGGTGAATACCCATTGTGTCTGACGAAGTGGATATTCACCCACGAAAGTTTATGCTTCAATACGTCTGTTAGTCTATAAGGTGCCACAGGACTCTTTGTCGCTTTTTACAGAACCAGACTAACATGGCTACCCCTCTGATACCAAAACCTTTGCAAATTCATGTCAATTTTGTCAAATTCTTTTGCCTGAAAAGAAAACGCAATTTTTTATTTTTTAATCCAAAAAAACAAGAACAAAAGTTATGATTTTTTAATTTGAAATTACTTCTACCCTCCGCCCCCGCATTTTCCTTTAACTTAAAAAGGAAACAATCCAAAACAAAAAATGGTCAAAATTGAAATGAAACATTTGAAACCCAATGAAAACAGGTTGTTTGACTCAAAATGATTTTTTCAACTTTTTAATTCACCAAAAATTTCAAAACATTTCTTTTCAAATTGACCAAAAACATTTTTTTAATTGCCAGCAAACAGAAAAATCTATTATTTATCCATCTCTCTCTCTGACATCTGCAAACAGAGATGCTATGATGCACTGGAAATGAAAAAAAGAAATTGATCCTATGATTCTTTCTCCTTTATAAAAACTGCATTTATTTACCTGAAATATAATGATATGAAAGTTAACGAAATGAAACTCTAATACAAGAACAGTATATTGGTTTCAGCATTGGAATTGTGTGAACCTTTTGCTATGAAACCGCAAACTATGCAACATTTCCCCTGGGTTTGGGTTCCTAGCAAACTTAACACTCAGCTTAAGTTTATAAACATTTTGGAGAAAGCAGGAACTCCTGCACCTCACATTTTCTAGGGAAGATTAATGGTTTCAATCAAACCACATGAAATTTGATGATTTCAAACTGAAATCAGACAAAAATTGGCCGTTTGGGTTGCTTGGTGGTTCGGGTCAATCCTGAAACTTTAAAGTATGGCTCAGTCGAGATGTGAACTGAAACAAAACACTTACCATCAAATTTCACATAGCAACAGTATCCTTCTACAGCACTAATTCTCAAACTTTTGTACTGGTGACCCCTTTCACATAGGAAGCCTCTGAGTGTGACCCCCCCTTATAAATTAAAAACACTTGTTTATATATTTAACACCATTATAAATGCTGGAGGCAAAGCGGGGTTTGGGTTGGAGACCGACAGCTCATGACCCCCCCATGTAATAACCTCACGATCCCCTGAGGGGTTCCAACCCATAGTTTGAGAACCCCTGTTCTACAGCATAGGAACCCTCTGATTACCTTTTACAACACATAGAAGCTGAGTTTAACATTTGTTTGACGAGGGTCCAAATTATCTGCCCACAAGATGGAAAAATCTCCCTTACAAAATAATACCCAGATCCAAATTATTGCTTTAGACAAAGAATTCTGACAGGTCAGATTTACTTACAGAAAATTACGTCTTGGTAACTTGAGCTCAGCAGGCTAAAATACATTCACATTTCACAGCTGTTGACAGATCCTTTAAAAGCAAAAAAGAAAAGAAAAAAGGAAATTGAAGCCTTTTTCTGAGAGAATTTTTTCTACAAACTGGGTGGGAAGTGTGTCAACATTCTGAATACTGTAAAATGGAAAGTGCCACCCAACCAAAGTAATTTCAAAACAAAACAAGAAATAATTTCTTTGAATCTCCCAGCTGACCATTCATTCTGGAGAGCTATTTAACTATTTGCTAACGTAAAATATTAACAAATGTGAGCAACCTTTAAGGACTGATCCATTAACTTAAATGGGTTGTAGCCCTCAGCTAACTATACTCCTACACATGACAATGCTTCCAAGATAACTGAACTTTCATAGTAAATACAATGATGAATTTGTAGAATGTGTGTGTGAATTTTAAAAAACTGCAAATGGAGGAGTGTGTGAACTACTGCACATAACATTTGGACATTGTGTACACTTTCTCCTTCTCCACTGATCTACAATGGATGGGCAGGATGGGCTGTTCAAAGATAGCTGTGCAAGTATAACTGTCAAAGATAAATCCTGTGGACTACTTACATTCTGGATGGGCAAGAGATAAATGAGGACTTTAGGAAACCCTTTAAGTCATTTATTATTGGCTCTAAAGTGCCAGCGGGATTTTGGATTCAGATAGAAATAGGGTGACCAGACAGCAAGTGTGAAAAATTGGGACGGGGGTGGGTGGTAATAGGAGCCTATATAAGAAAAAGCCCCAAATATCAGGACTGTCCCTATAAAATCAGGACATCTGGTCACCCTAGATAGAAAGACCCTTAAGAAGGGTCAGAAGGTGATATTACATTGAGACATAAGAGTACAAGGCCTAGTTCACCACTGTATTACTCCTGTTTAGCACTCGTGTGACTCCACTGAAACCAGTCAAGTTGCATCAGTGTAAAACTGGAGTATTGCTGTGGTGAATTAGGCCTACAGTTTCAATTCCTTGGTGGTCCTCACACAAGGATCAACCCTTGTATTTGGCAATAACTCTAGTGACTACAATAGAGTTGCACAAAGGATGAAATTGAACTTCTATTCTTTCATGCTCTGTTTATTCCCAATATGGGAGTCTTGTCCACTTTTCCTCCAAATCCTGGCCTTACTGTGTAAGGAGATGAGGGATTCCCTCTAACCCTCTCTTTGAGTCAAGAGCTAAATTTCATTCCCTCAGTTGCTGCTTGATGTAGGTACAAAAATATCCCTAGCTGCCACTTTGTTGACTTGATTTCCTCATGTGTGCAATCGAGTACATCTCTAGTGTCTTTCAAACATTCCAGCCTCACTCCAATTTGCTGTAAACACAACTAATTTAGCACCCAAGCACCTGCAAGCTGTCATTCTGACAAGAAGTGTCCTAGAGCAGGCCTGCAGGAAGCTCATACAGCACTTCTGTCAGTGGGAAAAGCAGGAGAGTTTACGGGCAGCGGTCCATCAGTTTCAATGTGTTTCACAATATTTATTTGTAAATGTAGCACTATTTAAAACAGATGGAGCCAGAGCCTCAGCTGCTATAAATCAGCGTAGCTCCATCTGACTTACATCGGCTGAGGGTTTGGCCCAATGTTTCCTTTCTCTATTTGTCTGCAGATATTGTTTGGGATGATTTAAATTGAGGGCTTTTCTACACTAGGATTTTTTACACCAATGTAGCTGCACGAGTGCAAACCCCTAGCGTAAGTGTGCTGCACTGGTGCAAACTGTGACTTGCACTGGTACAAAACACCCTTGTAGACAAGGCCTTAGACAGTCTTTGTCCCCTTGCCCTTATTCAAATGTACACTGAACTGTAGTCACACTGCTCAGTCCTCCATATTACCCTCCAACAATCACTTTATGTGCATGTGCTACCCAATTAGCACCCAATTAATTCTCTCTGGCCTAGACAAGAGCCCTGTCATCTGTGAAGCAAGAATGGGAGGGGATGGGAGAGGTGCATTAGTGGCAGAGAAAATTCTCCAGAAAACTAAAATTGCTAAATAAGCATCCAAGGGCCACTTTGTTCTTGATTTGTATCTTCATCCTATGGGGGCCTATTGCCAAAGAGAAATTAGCCTGAGGTGGCACCTGACAGATGTATGTGAAGGAAGATATCAGAGGGGGTTCTCTGCCAGCAGATGCCTTTCAAATTAGTGTGCTTAAACAGTTCATGTAGCAATCCAGGAAGTTGGTAAATAAAGCTTTCAACCCACCAGGATCCCTTTGTTTAAAAATAGATTGCTTTTCAGTGGAGTGATCAGGAACAATCTCCTGTAGCAGTGCAATAGCAGAATGTGGGTGTTAGATGAACCAGATAAAAAGCCATTACCCACAAACACAGGAAGCTCAGCACACTTTTCAACTTGATGGAGATACAGGTGAATTGTCTCTGTGTGTTTCAGGTTTTCCACGTGCATGACATGAGACTGCTGAGAGCTGGTTTGAAGACTGCCCATGAACACACCTGGTTCCAGGTCTTTCAAATGAAAGTTCAAGTACTACAGTACCATAATACATCTTCTCTGATTTTTATCAGTCAGTTCATTACCAAATAGAAGCATTTGTGACTATGGAGTGGCTGTGCTAAGAAATGAAAGACAGTCAAACACTAATTCATCCCTAAAAGCATAGATACATCTATGTGAGATACATACAAGTACAATGTATACAACACAACTTGAAGGGTTAATTTCAACATATCAGTATTCCTTTGCAGTGTCTATTCTAAATATTTCATTTAGGTTGGTTATTTTGACAGGTTCATGCTTGATCAGAAAGCACGCATTCCAAGGAACAAATGTTGAAAAATTCTGTTTGGCCCCAGCTCACTTTTACAGTTGTCATTCAGTAAGAGTGATCTTATTATAATGTTCAAAAAAGGACCTGATCTTGCACCTGTGATGTCCAGGGGAATATTGACACTGGCCACAAAGTGGGCAGGATCGGGCCCAACACTTTTTTAGGATGTCTGTGCTTTTTCATGCGTGCTGAGGTTAGAAAGTGACAGATTTTCATAGTGCCAGGGTTCTCAAACTGGGGGTCGGGAGCCTTCAGGGGTCGCGAGGTAATTACATGGTGGGGTCGCGAGCTGTCAGCCTCCACCCCAAACCCGGCTTTGCCTCCAACATTTATAATGGTGTTAAATATATAAAAAAGTGTTTTTAATTTATAAGGGGGGGGGGTCACACTCAGAGGCTTGCTGTGTGAAAGGGGTCACCAGTACAAACGTTTGAGAATCACTGTCATAGTGTGTGTAACGTAGAGACAGATAACTATTAAATGCCAGATCCTCCACTGGGCGTAAATTGGTGTGACTCCCTTCAAGTCAATGGAGCTAGGATGATTTACACCAGTTGGGGATCTGACCCTAATATCTTTCCTGCCATATGACCATCCGCCATAGCAGCCTATCATTGAAATCTCTACAGAAGTATTTGTCTTCTGAAAATACAGCACCGTAGTAATCTTTTCATGGAGTGATTAGGGGCTGAAAGCCTGTGTGCCAATCCAACACATAAATGTTACCACTGCTCTTTGCCCATAATCACTCCAATACAATGTCTTGCAACAGTACTGTCCTCACCCGTTATACATAATTGTAACCAATTACTTCAGAGTGAAAGTGGTTCTCTTCCCTGGCTGTTTACTCAGAGAGATTGCTAGGGTGAGCAGTTTTCTGGAGATTGGAGTGTTCCACAACTGAGCCCCCATTTTTTTCATATGGCTTTTAAAAATGTATGCAACAATCTGGCATCCAGAATGCCAGGGTCCCACCAGAGACAGAACAGAAACAGGTAAAATTTACTACTGCACTGACTAAATGTTGGGCATAGTTAGGTATGTGTTTAGATATCATGGTGATGGGCACAAGAGAAACACCTAAGATAGACAGGGCGCAGCTACACAGCAGGGTTCTTTCAGCAGTGTGCGGTGTACACACACATTTAGCCCCCAGCAGAGGTATAAACAGCAGTGTAGATGGTAAAACACGGATTAAGCCAGTAGGGTAAAGACATCCTGAAGGGTGTGAGTGTGTAGTTGGGGTACAGGTGCAGGAAAAGGCTCTGGCTGTGGGGGAGGGGGACCACAGGGAAAGGCTGCCAGCTCCCCACTGCTGGATCCTGCAGGGAAAGACTCCAGCAGGGGGGGAGGCTCTGGCAGGGGGACAGGCAGCAGGAAAAAGGCTGAGCCTTTCCTTGCTGCCTGCCTCCCCCTGCCAGAGCCTTCCCTAGCTGCAGTGAAAGGCTCTGACAGTGGGGAGCAGCTGATGCCTTTTCCCAACTGCCTCCCTCTGCCAGAGCCTGTCACTGACTCGTGTAGCTGCGCACTATGGTGTGCCTTTCGTAAACTACGTAGCTACCTGTAAACTACACACCACCAGAAGAGGTGTATAGTGTAGACGTAGCTTTAGGTAGGTTTATGCTTCCACTCCTGTACACCGACTCAGACTGTTTTCTTCAACTATTGTAATGTAATAAACTTCCTAGTGTGAACAGATTATATTGTCATCATTCCTCTTCCTGTGTCTCACTGTTCACCCAATCCTCAACCATCATTCATAATTCCACTTTAGACAGCCACACAGATACAGCGGGGCTGGGCTGGTTGACTTGTTCCTTTACAAACTGTTATGTTTATATGATTACAAGATAGAAATTCAACCCTCACTTCACACATACGATATGACAGCCTAAAATCATGTGCACAGTGTCTGTCCCTCCAGATCTAGCTACGATAGGCTGATGCGTAACACATGGACTGTAAAGGGCCAGGCCAATGCCTGGCACCATACAAATAAACAATAACAACATCAAGTTAAAGACCTTCTCCCTTTTTATTCATCTCCACGAATTCCTTTGAGGGAGGCTTATGTGACCTGTGGCTCCTATGAGCATTATTATTTCCCCCACTCTCACTCCAGCCCCTTTGCACTGAACTTTATTTTGCAGTACCAACCTGTCTTAGCAAAATACAGTCAAGACTCAGGCTTCCAGCTACTGCCAAGAAAAAGA